GCTTTTTAAAAATATTCCACAAATGTAGAACAAAATTGCATACTATATATAGATCCTCCTGAAGAACTAGACTGTACTGTGACCAGTCAGGCTTAGTGAAGTGAATATTGGACTGAAAATAAAATGGCAAGTCATTTCCAGATCATTTCATTTAGGGAAGCAGGAGATAGAGAGCCTAGCCCAGTGTAGAGCTGATGGAAGGAAGGAAATAAGAATGGCCATAAGAGAAAAGGTGAAGAGAAAGATAAATTGCCTACCTTCTCATCATCTCTTAAGAAATCATAAAATTTTCTGATTTGGCCAGGATGTTTTTATTTGAAAATAAAATCAATTCATATCCAGATGTATTGCATGAGCTAATTGTTCATAAGTGTCTAGGGATTTTTTTGTTGTTGTTCCTGAGATGGATTTTTTTTTTTAAATACTACTTTCTTAGGTGTTATTCTTATCCCATGTTTCTAGAAACTCTTCTAATTTCTTAAGATTTTTTGCAAATTTTATATTTGATACAACTTTTGTTCTCATCAGCCTTTCTTTTTGTGTACATTTTCTTAGGCTAAACTAAAAAGCTGCAAATTACTTAAATTTAATATTTTATTAAACATATTTTAATTATATTAATTTAAAGTAATATGTGGGAGGCAGCAGATGGTCTTAGAATCCATGCATAGCCCATGATCTGTGTTGTTTCTAGATGTGTGTGTGTGTGTACGTGTGTACGTGCACATGTCCACGTGCATGGACTTGGTGTTGGCAATTTTACGTTGGTTGATCATTCAAGTAGAAGGAGTAATGAAATAGACTATGCACATAGGCAGCCACTGCCCTTTCCTATTCCATGTTACTGAGTATATACTATGGCCAAGGGAAGTATTGTAGAGCCTCCTAGGGAGATTCTGAGAGACCCAACCTTGTTTTTGTGTTCTCTTTCTCTATGTTTCTATTAATTGTTCTTCTTCACCTCTGCACATCAAATCTAGTAATTCCCTAGCCTTACATATTTCCATTCCTTTATTTGCCAAGTATTATTTCACTTGTGTGCTAATAAAGAGTTAAATCACTTAAGTTGGAGTAAACACCAAAGTGACTCTTCTTCAGTGATCATTCTGAGCCAGTTTTTGAAAAACAACTTGACATCGGTCAGGGCAAGAAGGATTCACTACTATTGATGACTTTTGAAGGGAATAGAATTAAAGTCATATTTAAATCATAAATTGTGAATATGTACTAAGGGAATAACAAATTTGGTCAGGACCTTTAACTACAGAATAATTTATAAGAAATAGAATTATTTACAGAGGTCTAACAAAATCTGTTTGTCAAATCTAAGCATTTTTAATGTTAAATTTCACCGTTGGCCTTTTCTCTTGTCATAAGGAAAAAAAAGGTTGTTAGTTGACATTAGAGAACAAACATTGCTGACATTTGTATCTATCTAATAATGGTATAGAAATGTAATTAGGAGCCTGAAATTTTTTTTTTCATCTGGTAAGTGTAACAAATGCATTACTTGTATAAAAAGAATGGCAAGAAATACGTAATAAAATACTTAGCATGTACTTGTGTGTGTGTAAGTAATTTATATGCTTTTAATCAAGAAAAATATACTTTAACAATCATATGACAGCATTTCAATTTGAAAATATTATTTCCTGATAGGCAAAAATGTTAGCATACTTCTCTGGGGATATATCTATATTTGGAATAATTTGGCTCATAATTTCAGGATTAATTAGCAAATCTGTAAATCTCTACAAATCCAGCTAAGAGAAATTCAAATCCATAAGAAGTAAATATTTAATTAAAATTCATTTTAAAATAGCTTTAAAAAATTGTAATGTATTTTAAAAATTAGTAGTCTTGAGAATTTGTGTTTTCTTGAAGAGGGAAGCAGGAAGGCATAGTTTCTACCAATGATCCAGGCCCTTATTCATGGATATGTAAGTGGGCAGATAAATTTAACTTTTTAAATCCCACCTCTCTGTATGTGACATTTTTGCTACTTCTAAGGATCAACTTTTTAAAAAAATGAGTTCTAGACATTGGATATTTTATAGTCGTTTGTCTTTTGATGATACTGGGGGCGTTAGCAAATACTGTGGTATGCATTCTATTTATTTTCAGAGGGGAGGTCTGGGGAAATAGGAAATATGATTATAATGTTTCAGTGGCTTCTGTTTTGAGGTTATGGAGTGTGCTCAGAAAAGTTAAGTTTAACCCTTTTTGTTTTAATCCCTGATTATGAGTAAAAGAAGAGGTATAATTTGAAAAAATCATAGAAGGGAAAAAGAAATACTGGAAATAACTTAAATAGTATATGCTAATCTCCTCCAGTGCTATGCACTCTTCAAGAATTTGAGGCACTGTGGAGTGCCTTTCCCATGTTCCTTTGTTTCCCTTTACTCACTATAAATCCTGATAGGTCTTGTGTTTGATTTTGAAGCTATCAACCCATAACTAATTTTACTGGTTCTTTGTGTTAGCACTCCTGCAAAAGCATAAAATTTAAACCTGATAAATATGGCAAGAATATAATTTCTAATTATAAAGCAACTAGATAAGCAAAACAAAATCAGAAATCTAAGTGCTGGAAAAAATAAATAGTACATTTGATCACATGTGCTTTAGAAAGACTGAACCTAAGTTTAAAATTAGTACTTCACTGATCAAATGATGATTTTCTCAAATTCCTTTATTAAAATATATTAAAATAGTGAAAACAATAGTTTAGATGTAAAAATGTGAACAGTATAGCATTATTTCCTAGTTGTTTTTAATACATGTAATTGTATATGCTCTCATACTTGAATGGTAGGGAGAAAGAATTTGGCCAAATTAAGGAAACAAACTTATGGCCACCAAAATATTATTTTAATTACTTTACCATTTCTGGCTGACACATTTGAAATGCTCCCAGTCCTGCCTTATATAACTCAGAAAACACAGACTCAACATGAGTTTCAAGGACAACTCTGAATGTTAATGTTTCCATTTTCGGCCTCATGGCAGAAAGTTTTATTACCCAGTGTACGCTCTGGAATGTCAAAGCCATGATAGGCAGTATAGACCCCACACACAAAATAAACGCATAGTCATTTTATTCTACATTGCTTCACTTGAAATTAGGGCATGAAAATCTAGAGAGAGGAACTAAAAGTAAGTGATTTTATAGTGCTCTAAAATATTGAGACTCAAAAAATAAAAGTCCTGGGATAAAAAATGCTCATGTGTTTGAGTTTGTGCTGTGACCAATCCCAAATAAGTTCGCTTACATCTACCACAGGGCTTGCATAACTAAAAGCTGGTCTGATAGGTACCAAACATCATTGTTTCACAGGCAAGGACTGCAGATTTTCCAGAAATTAACAGACCTTGTCCCAAACCTACTTCTCCATTCTTATATTATATAATACAGCGTTCCAGGGAGCAAACTAGCTGATAAGACATTTTGCATACCCATATAGGGATTTTCTAATCACAGTGAGGGTAGTGTGATAAGGTCTTGGGGGAACTGGAGCTCCCAGGCAAGATGTCTCAGTTCTAGAGCATCCTTCTCTGTTACTCCTTCTCTATTTATCACTCTTTTTACCCTGTTTATCTTTGCTAGAAAGTTGTATACTATGATTTTTAAAAGATTGGACTACTGTTTTATGGTTGTATGTGATGTAAGTGTAGTTATAATTACAGTTTTTAAAAAAGCAAATCCCTCCTATTAGATTGTAATCTTTATCCAAACTCATCTGTACATTTGCCCTTACCCCTCCACCTGGCACCATTCATTCAGCAACAGTTTATTGATCTTCAGTTGCTTGGAATATGTAGTGAGGACAAGGGACATCTCTGTTCTAGTTGACCTTATATTCCAGTAAGTTATACAAACAGTACATGACTAAACCAATATATAAGAAAATATTGAGTAGTGAAAATATTATCTTAAAAAAATTATAGAGATTGAAAGTAATTGAGAAGGAAATTTAGACAGCATCTTCATGAAAAAGCCCTTCTGGGTAACTGACACTTAAAATGAGTCTTGAACAATATGGAAGAGACATTATTTAGAGATATGGAGGAAAAAGACTTCAGGCAAAGCAAACAGCTTGACAGATTGTGGGAGAGAAAACAAGTATGGCCGAAACATAGTATCAGAAGGCAAGAATTGTATGCAATTAGATTTGAGAGGTAGGCAGGTACTAGATGGTATAAGGATTTCTGGGAAAGAATTTGTATTTTCGTTTTTTAAATTTTGTATTTTCCTTCTTATTGTGATGTGACTCCATTGGCTTTTATACAGAGGAATGACATCTGATTTGTAGTTAAGCAGAGGAGAAGGAACCAGCAAAGGAGTTCAAATGCAGTGCTTAGCAAGGTTGGGGGCATCATCAGGAAAGGGTGGTATGTGAAACTCAAGAGAAGAGAATGAATGAAGAATGGATGTGGGGACCTGGAGGTTGATGGCAACCTTTACAAGAGATGTTTCAAAGGGGTAGTTGGCAAAGAAAATAGTAGGGTAAGGAAATGGCAAGAGTAAGGGTAGAAAACAATATTTATATTTTTCAGTGAAGAGGAACAAATAATAAAGCAGTAGTAGGAAGGGTTCGTTGGGTCAAGAGAGTTTGTCTTGTTACAGTTGATCATGGTAAGCTTCAGTGGAGAAGGAGATGCTGAAGATGCCCGAGACAGCAGGTTATTATAGGAGAAAAATCCTTGCAAAGGTGAGAGGAGGTGGTGTAAGGTGTGGCACATTCTACCATACTTTTCTCAACAGATGCTCCCTCTCTCTACTTCCAAGTTCAGCTAACAGTAGAAATGTGCTAAGTTTGCTGAGAACCACAGCAGAAAATTTGCTTGGAATGGTTCTAGTTTAATAAAAAAATTGCATTACCCAAAACATGACAGAAATTAAATCCCACATATTTGGAAAGAAATGATTTTTTGGCATTCAGTTCAGGAGACTATTATTTTAATTGCTTTTAATTTAAAATTTTTTTTTAATCTTTCAGGTGCTTCAAGAAGACTTAGAACAGGAACAAGTCAGGGTCAATTCTCTCACTCACATGGTGGTGGTGGTCGATGAATCTAGTGGAGACCATGCAACTGCTGCCTTGGAAGAACAACTGAAGGTCAGATTATTTTCTTTAATACACTGTGTCATTCAAAATAATTAATTGCAATTCAGAAAAAATTTAGAAAATGTATAATGTAATTTGTATATTGCAAATATTTACAATGCATATATTTATTTAAAGTAAGTCAAATTATGTCCCATTTGTGCACATTTCCCTTTCACTAACTATCCACTGTTTGTTCACACTAGCTTCCTGGACTTTGGGGAAATATATGAATGCAGATCTGTTTTTTTTTAATTATAGTTGAATAACATGTATTAGAGAACTGGTCAGAGGAATATTGTTTATATCTTCTTAAAACCTACAGTTAAAGAGAGGACAAAGGTAAAAAGAAAAAAAACTCAAAAGGGATCACATTCAGTCAAATTGTGAGAAATCAAACACCTTCATATTTTTTTCCTGGACAACTTCAGTTATAGTCTTGATGAGAACATAGCAGGATATATAAATTTTGTTGGAGAAGATACTCAGTGTTTCAAACCCTCATTCAACCTGAGTCATAGTAATTATATCCTTGGAAACATAACCAGCACCTATTAACAAAGAGTAAGGTGGGTATTTTCGTATTTTTGTCTTTTCTTCCTAATTGGGAACAACAACATTTTACTGTAAAAATATTGAAAACATTTTCAACAAAACATATGTACATATACCAAAACATCAACATTTAGGAAAAATACAATTTATTGTTCTGAATGTGATACACACACACACACACACACACACAACTACAGGTTATACTTGAGGCATTCACTTTACCCATGAAATGCTTACCTTTTCTTTGTGATTGTTAGGGGCCAATAGTCTGACATGTCTAAGGATCCAATCAATGTGGGTTTAAATAGCTTTATCAGCACAAGGTTGTTCTAAACATAGTTACTCTTACCTAACCTATAACACAGTTTCTTAAAGCCTTATCTCTGTTTCCCTCTATCTTTGTGTGAATTGTGTTTTTTATCTCAGTAAAATGTCATTTCCTCAGGTTACTGCTTTAAACTTCCAGTCTTTAACAATGGTATCTTCTCTACCATTAAATGACAAAAAGAAAGTTCTTGAACTGCTACAACCGAGCACTTAACCTATATTAGTCACCCATGTTAATTGCTTATGATTCAATGAAATTACAGGGATTACAGATATAAAAAGGCTTTTGGCACCTGTTATTATAATATATCATCACATATATGATCAGATGCATTGTACACATATATACTTGTGACCAGCTAAAGGACTGTACTGATAGACCACTGCTATGACCATTTGAAAGGTTTCTGTAGTTCTCATAAAATAGTGTTGTAGCTAATTATAGATGGGTAAAAATCTAATACTCAGCATTCCTCAGAAATTTTCAGAAAAGGTAAAAGAAGTCTAGGGGGCAGAAGTTGGGAGGGTGACTGGTTAAAAAAAAATCAAGGCCGACATTTTTCTAAGTCATAGACTATTTCTAGTTAACATGACAACTGAGAAACATCCACTTTGGTATTACCAGACCTAATACAACTATCTTTAGAATGTAATCATTCTGGGGTGATGTCTGTGGGGCTAAGCCACCTTGAAAAACGGTCTATAGTACTCATAGATCATGACTGGGTTAGAGCTTACTTAGGATAAATTAAGAGTTGTGGCCCTAAGCTTTTCTGTATTTATTATCCTACTTGCTTTCATTTTTGCCTTATTTTCTATCTTTATTTCATTGGCTCAGAGATATCTACTAAGATAGCTGTGTGTGTATTGGCTTCTCCTAAATCATACGGACTCCATCTGCATTTGTCCATGATTGCCTCACTATTAATTAGTGTTGACTACTACCTCCTAGCTTTCTCTTTTCCCCGCAACCCACTTTTCCCCTTTGATACCCTCATTTCCCTCTACATACCTCCTTACTATAACCTGACTTTTAGATAATCTAGACTAGTGTCTAAAAGGGCAGGGTTAGAAGGAATTTTTGGGGGAGAACACCCTGGCTTGAACATTTCTTTCTTCTCATCCTGTGACTTTTTTCTGTCTTAGAGGAATCCATGCTTGAATTCTATGCCTTATTTGACCATTGGTTTCAATTGCTCTGGAATGCTGGGCTCTCATCTGACTTTGACATTTTGGTGATTCTTTCTTAGGTTCTTTGCAAATGATATAATCTAATCTTAACCTAGTTAGATTTTTAAAAGGAAGGGGAAGAGAAAGAGAAGTTGGCAGAGAAGGAGGAGGAGAAGAGAAATAATAAAGGATAAAAAGAGAGATAAACAAATACATTAGAGGAGTCACTTTAACAGCAACACAAGTATTCTCTGCATGTAATAAGAATTCCGTGTGTGCTTCAGAAACCACGACCTATTGCTATGTCTGATACTGGTCCCAGAGGAATTCTGTTACAATAGGAAGAATTTTAGGAAAGAAAAACAAGTATATGGACCCCACACAAGGGACAAAACTGAAACAAAAACAAAAACAAATACAAAACTGGCAGGGATCTGAGAAGGATCCTCGAGGGCTTTTGTTGGAGCTAGGTCTGGTCATCCATAGCTTATTCCCCTCGACTTGTTAGTCTTGAATATTTATCCCACTCCGTTTTCCGCCATCACAGTGCCTTAATCTGTTTTGCTCCATTGTGCTGAGGCACCATCCAGAGCCCCCACATGGATACCCAGTGGTCTTTAGTCCAGAGATGAAGATGGGGCAAACTAGAAAGGGAAGTCCTTGATTTAGTACAGTAAGAGAGGGATGTGTTCTTATCATCTGGAGTTAAAACTCTGAAAATATTCCTCATAGAATATTTTTATGTGTATTGACTTAATTCTATGAACTTTATTATAAGTTAGATTTTCTCTAACTTTCTTTTAAAAATTTTATTGGTTTATTTGACAGAGAGAGAGAGAGAGTGAACACAAGCAGGAGAAGTGGCAGACGGAGAGGTAGAAGCAGGCTCCCCGCTGAGCAGGGAGCCTGATGCAGGGCTGGGATCATGACCTGAGCTGAAGGCAGATGCTTAACTGACTAAGCCACCCAGGCATCCCATTTTTCTCTAACTTTTAAAAAAGACTTTTAGAAGCCTTTCTGTTAAAAGGTTTGAAGAAAAACAAAGTTAGGTCAGAACATATGCTTAGGGATTCTAAAAGATAGCATGGCTTATGAAGGATAGTATTCTGAAAAGTACAATCTGTTGTAAATTAATTTGATTCTCTCTCAGAGGTTCAACTTGTCCCTCAGCAGTGTCACCACAGGTCATAAACTTGTCCTTAACTTTAACGGTTTCTAGGATGTCAATGCACAGAGAGTCTGATTTGTAAGCAATGATGCTAGTTAACTGATTTTATTGAGAAATACCTTGGCTAAATAACTGAGATTAGTAATTTATATAGAGTATTCAATCCTGGAGGACAATATCATATCTCTTTCTGAGAATCTGCATTCTGTTTTTCATTTTTTCAGTGAATACTTGCTATGTTCTTATTATGTCCCAGGATTGTGCTGGGTAACAGAGGTGAAACAGTGAACAAAAAGAGAATTTGTCATTACTTTCCTGGGTCAGGAGTGAGTAATCTGTGAGCCTGCTGCCTTCCTTGGATGTGGTAGCCGTTTCTCAGGCTCCCTCTCCGGAATCGAACCCTGATTCCCCGTCACCCGTGGTCACCATGGTAGGCATGGTAGGCATGGTGACTGCTCTCTTGGTTCTTGCAGTCTAGCAGAGGGAATAGATCTTAATCAAATATTAATGAAAATGAGCAAGTATTTAAGAATGGACAGAACTTATTTCTACAAAGGAAAGAAACAAGGTTTTGTGACAACACGCTAATAAGACGTCAACTGAAATTTGAGGGCAAAAGATGATTCCCTAGGAAAGCGTTTAAGCTAGGGTCTAAAGGATATGTTGAAGGGAACTGTATAAAGGGCATGTAAAGGAGATGGGTGGGGGTGGGTAGTTTCCAGGAAGGGGAAATAGTAGATCAAGCGAGCAAGGCATCCTTAGGGAACTGAAAAGGGCAAATTTGGCTACAGCTTTGAGGTTCAGAAGAGTGGTGTTAGAGGAGACTTGGCAGATAGAAGGGGCTCACCCAAATTACCAATTCTAATTCTTACCACACAAGAATTAGAAGTGGTGTGTGATGCTCAACTCTACCAAAATTCAATCAACAAAAGTGTACTGAGCAGCAGGTCTCTGCCTGGATGACAGCTGGGACTACAACGGCAAGGAGAAGCAGGGGCAACAGTCATGGCACCTGCCCTTCTGGACCTGCATTAATCAAGTGCAATGAAAAGTACAATTATGGCCATGATGAATTCAGTGGGACAAAAATAGACATTGCTGGATGACCTATCTTGCTCTAGAAGGCCAGGAAAGTAGAGGTTAATTAAGCAATAGTAAAGGGTAGGGAGGTGTTCTGTACAGAAGCACAGCATTTATTCATTCAACAGATATGTCTTGCATGCCTTCTCAATGCCAGGCAAGTCTAAGCTTTGAGGTTAAGCATAGGCAAAGCATACATGATTTCTCTATGAAGCTTACATTCTAAGCACACATCATAATAAGTAAGCAAGTTTTATACTATGAGAAATGTGATAAGAACTATAAAGAAAAACTGGGGAGGGGAGCGCTTTTACCTGGAGTGGTCAGGGGATGCTTCCTTGAGAAGGTGGCATTTAAGTAGAAACTCAAACAAAGTAAGGGAGGTGTTTGGAAGGTGCGCGGGTCCTATGGGGCCTTCTGTATTTGAAAAACTGAAGAACGACTATAAATGAAACATAAAGAACACCTATTGTTCTAGGGAGATAGTTGTTTCTAATAAAAAAGAACCAGAAACAGGCATCTAGTTTTAGAGTTTGTTCTATGAAAGCACCTTCTGGAGAAAAGGCAGAGCTATTGAAGTTCCATTTGTAGATATGTTCTTCTACACACTTGAACACTTGAGAGCCCAACTAGATGTATTAAAGTTGTCTAAGGCCTGGACCCAGGAGATTTCTGGCATATAAAAGGCATTTGGACTATTTTGCTAAATGAC